CAGTGTCTGAGACTCAGCTGGGTTTCTCCACTTCAGAAGACCAAGGAGGAGTGAGGCCGGATCAGGTGACTTTGAGAGCTGAGGCTATGACATCCAGCCAAAAGGAAGAGGTGATGGGTAACCTGCCTGGCCAAATGCTTGATGCAGGTAATGAAGACCAGCAGAAGCTGATTCAAGCACCTGAGGACCACCTTTGTTCTTCCAACACCCATGTACATGAGGCAGAGCCAGATATCCCAGCTTGCAATCCAATGGAATCCCCTCAGGTGGTGGAGAAGGACAGCCCAGTGCAGCACAGCATCCCAGACTCCCGTGTGCATTCTTACCCGGACATGCTGCAACAGCTGAGGAAATGTAGCTCTGAAGAGGAGGGCTTGGAGAAAGACAAGTCAAGTCTGTGCAAGGACCTGGAAGGGGAAGAACAGCAGACTGAACCAAAGATGCGGAAGATGGAAAACCCAGAATGGGAACAGGTCAGAAGTGAAAATCCTGAAGAACCACATGAAGACCAAAGAGATAACAGTGAAGAGCAGGAAGGGAACATGGAAGAAACGTACAATAAAACACAGCTGGCAGAAAAGGAAGACAACCTGCAAGATAATGTGACTGCAGGCAAAGGTGAGTATATGCTTAATAATATGCTTAAGGTGGAACTGGGATCCGAGAGACACCAGAGCTTGACCTGATGTTCTGCAGTCTCTGATCCTGGTGACACAAGATCCTGCACACAGCTCACTGCCATAGATAGGAGATAAGGAGGGCCGTCATCATGTCCAGCGCTCCCCACCACCCGCATGGGGTCAGGACTTGGCTCTTCCAACAGCATGTGGTTTCTGTGCACGAAGGGGTGAGGTTGGACCCTGTTGTAACACCACAGCATACCCACAGAATTAGGATTAAAATATTCTGGTGTTCGTCATCCCATCATAGATGGGTGCTAAAGATAGACAGTGGTAGAGTCCAACTCCTGCCCATACTACTGTATGGAGTAGCATGTCTGAGTGGAAGTTTTTGCTTTCAGTATGTACAGTCTGTTCTTCATTAACCAGGTTAAGGGGGAGCTGGGCTGCTCCAGGGTAAGGAAAGAGCTCACCCAACAAGGAGAGGAGTGCAGAAATTCCTGTCTGGCCTCACAACCCTCTGCACCCACCCGCCCAGCACAGTGCATTTCAGATCCCTTTATCCCAACTACAGGGCATCATCCCCAAGGTGGGCACCCCATGGAGGAGGTGGAGACTCCAGGACTTTCAGTCATGGTTGATTGTCTTAACTGAAAACACAGTGAGGTTTTCTGCAGATATCTAGCTTGCTCTAGGAACCAGGGGTGAAATTCTGTGGCTACATTATACAAGAGGTCAGAGGAGGGGTCTTAGCTTTTTGCCTCAAAAGATCTGTGAATCTCTAGGTCTGCAAGGAACATCAAGGGGCAGTGGCAGGGAGCAGAAAGGATGAGTAGGGAGGCTGAAAGGTGAGTTAAATATTTACTTGTACTGTTGTAAGAGACTTCGGTGGGTCTGGCCAGGCATCAAGAGGGAGGGAGAATACGCTTTTACTGAACCACAGCTTTGGTAAATATCCTAAGATAAAGAGAAGAAAAATAAGCCTCCATGTTCTTTTTGCATCAGTGTCAAACTGAAACTCCTGAAGAATGTCAGGAGGTTGCAGTCCATCTTCTCATTAACCTCATGCCCAGATAGGTTTCTTTTCAGCAGTTTATTTTCAGTTTCCTTATTGCCACAGATAAAGTTTCCCCTTTCTGTTTCCCTGTTTATTCTCTGATTGCAAAAATGACTCAAGTTGATGGGAGTCCACGGCCTTGGGGCAGGTGCAAACCCTGCAGAGAGCGTCACTTGGCCCTTGCCTCAGACAGAGGGTTTGTACACTTCCCATCCTGAGAGAGGATAGCTCAGTGCCTGCACAAGTCTAAAACCTACCCTCGGGCTCCCCAGAGACCCTGCACGCCAGGACAGGACACCAGACAGAGAGCCTGGTGTGCTCACCATATCTGACTTGCTTCCCAAAGGCTCCAGCAGCAGCAAGCCGAAGGAGCTGCGCATCATCCTGGTGGGGAAGAGTGGAGCGGGGCGAAGTGCCACTGGGAACACCCTCCTTGGGGAAATGGTCTTCGAGTCCCGCCTGGCAGCCAAGCCCGTAACAATGACCTGTGCCCAGGGGAGCAGGATGTGGCAAGGGATGCGTGTGGTGGTCCAGGACACGCCGGCCATTTTTGATGAGTTGCTTCAGGACGAGCGCATGACCCAAGAGAAGAGGCGCTGCCTCGAGTTCTCCCAGGAACCCTGTGCGCTAGTGCTGGTGACCCAGGTGGGCCGGTACACGGAGGAGGACCAGGAGGTGGAGAAGGGGCTGCAGCAGGTTTTTGGAAAGGAGGCCATGAAGCACATGATGGTCCTGTTCACCCGGAAGGAAGACTTGGGGGATGGCACCCTGCAAACGTACGTCATGAATACCAAAAACAGAGCTCTCCAGAGACTGATTGAGACATGCAAGCAGCGATACTGTGCTGTGAACAACAACGAAACAGGGCCAGAACGGGATGCCCAAGTTGATGAGGTGCTAAAACTGGCTCTGGCAACAATGCATGGTGAGGGGGACCAGAGGCACAGGACAGGCTGGAAATATATTTTCTGTTGTAGCACATGTATTTGAATTCTCACTGGGCTTACAATGAAATAAAGAAATTTCATTACTCTGAGCCAGTTCTCAGGAGCAGCATCCACATGCAGCTTGTGAGTCAGGCCTGATCCTGATAGGAACAGTAGTGATTGACTCTGCAGATTGTCACAGCTGTTGGCAAATCCCTCTCTGAAGTCCATGATCTTCATTCCCCTTGGTCTGATTCTGAGGCTGTTCATCTCCCTGGTTTGCTCCCCGGGGGATATGGCGAGCCAAAGAGCATCTGTGCTCTCCTCTGGGGCTTGCTGCCATGGGGGCAACCTGGTCCCAGCTTGCCTCACTTGTGTTTGCCCCTGCAGCTGGACATGCCTGGGGACATGCCCCTGCTGGTGCCACCTGCACGAGGCAGGAGCAGGGCTGGGGCTGGGGCGCTGACACTCTTCCTGCCAGGAGAGCTGCTATCAGACCATCTTCACCTGCAGTCAAACAGCGCAGGTTTCCCCTGGTTTCTCTTTATCACATTGTCAAGTACCCCATACACAATCATATTAACAGTGACAGCTAGAGCCCACACAAAGCATATTTCTGCATTTAGGTTCCCAGTTTTAATCAGGGAATAGCAATTGGTACATTCCTGATCTGGAGACAGGTTGAAGGCAGCAGGGTGTAGTCATGAGTGAGCACTTCCCTGTCAACGAGCAGGGTACAGCCACCAACTGTCTGTTCATGCTGTGTGTACTCCCTCACACAGCAGCCGTTCTCAGAATTGTATTGCGGGGACTTCGCTGCGGTTTATTCACCATCCACATATAGGGCCGCAACGGTAATAACGTAATGTATGAAGTTGAAATGGTTCCTGGCACAATGGCTGCTAAAAGGATCATTATTCACAGATTTCTCAGATCTCTTTTGTTCTGGACACCCTCACATCCCTCTCTGAGCAGGGGTGCAGTTTCATTCTCTTTAAACCAGTCCCCCATAAACAGTTTCTAACCGTTTGCAGAGTCTGAAGGGTTTGTGCCCACAGGTCTGGCACACACAGTCTATGGGAGCTGTGCTATAAGCTCCAATAAGATGTTTGTTGGAGTGTTGTCCTGGTTTCCCTCGGTGAGGTTGGTGCAATAACTGATCACTGCAGTTATGGGAAAAGCCTGTTTACTGGCCCATCGTCACAGGGCTCGCACTCCAAGCATGTTTCCAGATGAGTTCACTGGCCTGAACGTTTCCCCCTTAGCTCAATAGGACTTTCCAGAGCTCGCTGCAAACATCACCCCCTCCCCCAAGCTGCTCTCTGAGCAATCACAGGCGCTGGTCCCAGCCAGCATCTTGCAGGGTGATTTATTTCAGCCAAGCTTGCCTTTGCCCGCACCAGGTTTCATTATCTGCAATTCCGGGAGGTCACAGCGATTACGGGAAAAGCCTGTTTACTGGACCATCATCACAGGGCTCGCACTCCAAGCGTGTTTCCAGATGAGTTTACTGGCCTGAACGTGTCCCCCCGGCTCAACAGGGATTTCCAGAGCTCACAGGAAACGCCCCACACAGCTGCTCTCTGAGCAATCACAGGCACTGGTCCCAGCCACGGCCCCACACAACTGCTCTTGGCCCCAGCCCAAACTGATCAAGACCGCCACAGTGACGCTGCCCCAGGAAGGCACGGGGGAACAACAGGGCATAGGCACCAATGGGGCGCACACACACACGCGCACCGTTGTCACAACATAGGCTGCCTGAGGAGCGGGCACTGAGCCTCTCCAGTCGCGCCTCCTGGGCCCTGCACGGTTTGTGTCTGTAACAGAAGTGCTGTAACAGATCCACACATCCGTGTCAGCCAATGGGAAATCGGGCAGAAATCATCCCGCTCTGCACCGAGGGGAGTCACGCTCTAACAGTTGGTCTCTGGTAATATGGGCAAACGTCCGTGATGGTGCCAAGCGTCCTGCCTAGAGCAAGCAAACCTTCCAGCCCTGAGCAGAGACTGCCTGGGCCAAGGTTACTCTGCTCCAGAGCCAAAGCGGCGACAAGGGTTGGGCTGAGAGAACAAAGTCCCTGACCCTGCACGGCCCCAATTTGTGTCAGCACTCCTCAGAGGAGCTTCCATGCTGGCAGGGCTCTGCCAGGTGATCTGGGACTGGTGGCATGCAGACTGGGACATCTGAGGCCTGCATAGAGCACAGCGGAGGCAAGAGTCAGCCCTGTGCTCCCCAAACTGCTGCGCGTGTTGTGGGGGAGCAGCGGCCATGGAGAGGGGACTGGGAGACAGAAGGGAGATGGACCCCAGGGAAGAGGAGGTGCAAGGAGGGACATGCATGAGAAGGATCTCACACAGGCTCACACTGAGGGTGAGCTTCTGGTTGATGCTGCAAGCACTACCTTGCAACACACTTGCACAGGTACCCAGCCCTTGTACCCCTGGCTGCAGGGGGGCTGTGGGCATAGGGACAATCCAGGAGGAGAGCTTTGGGTGTCAGCTCTCAGAGAGGCTGAGGGGCCACAGGAGCACAGCCCTCTCCAGCACACCTCAAGCCACCCTGTCCCAGCACTGTGAGGCAATAGCTGTGGGTGTGAGCACCCGGTGAGGGGACAAAAAATCCCCATCCCAAGAGGGGAAGTGCAGAAGCAAGGGCAGACCCAAGCTGGCCACAGGGCAGGAGAGTGGGCAGTGCAACTGGGGTAGCGGAGTGGGGGCCATGCAGAAGGGCTAGGCACCAAACACAGCAGCATCCCAGAGGCACACACGGGTGGGTCTTCTCGGGTCACACCAGCAGATGCTGGCCCTGACATGTTTCCCGTGGGCTCTGACGACAGCAGCCGCAGCCTTGGAGCTCTTGGGGCTGCAGCTCGTCCACAAACCCCTCCAGCGCTGCCACAGCCGAGTCCTCCTCTTCCTGGTGTGCGCCCTGCCCCGCAGCCCTGCGCCTCCCTTCGCGCTCCCTCCTCTCGCAGCTGCCGCTTGTGCAACTTCCTGCGGAGCTAAACCGAAAGCAGTGCAGGGGCCGGAGCCGCTCCCGTGCGGGGACGCAGCGCTCCCGGACTGGCAGCGCCTCCTGAGAGCTCTGCAGGGCTGCCAGGAGACGTTGCTCTCTCAGTCTGAAACGGGGTGCTCTACAGTGCCTGGAGACGCAGGTACGTGACACTGTTTTTTCACTTCTCTGCATATGTGCTGACACTGTGCAAAGCAGGCTGCGAGGCTGTGCTTTTCCCCTGAGAAGCTCTTGGCTTGCAGGGAGGAAACGCCGTGAAGAGGCAGCTGTGGATCCTCCTGAAGCCTCTAAAAAATGGCAAACGGGCACAGCTGTGAACAGCTTTAGGATGTCCTCCTGGAAACTGTTTGATGAAAGCTGTGCTGATCTGTAACCCTCCCAGGATTTCGTTTCACTTCAGAGCCCAGGGGATTGCAGACAGCAGTGCTCAGAGGCATCATGCTGCTCCCCGCTTGCAGTGCAATACCGCAGGCAGGAGCCACTACCTGGGCAGGGCAGGGACGTGGCACATCTGTTCGGGTAGCTGGGAGAGGAGCAGGGAAGAGCTGAGCAGGCACCACACGGCTTTCCTCCCCCAAAGCCCCCTGTCCTTTGGCTCTCCTGGTCGTCCGTTTCCCTGCTGCTGAGCCCTTTGCATTGCACACCTCCTTGGCTGCTCTCTCCTGTCCCCATGAAGGAAAGTGTCCCACAAAGGCCATGTTCCTGTTGAGCATGGACCATCTTGCACTCCAGGGGCTGAAATCAAACAGCCACTGCTTATTGAGAAAGCAGGGCAATGACTACTCTGTGCCTGCAGCAGGAGCAGTGCCAAGAACAGCTCTCTCACGTAAGGCCCAGCACTGCCTGGGAACATGCTTACCAGCCACAGTCAAAGCCATGGCAAGGACTGTTCCTGCAGCTTAGTGGGTAGGTGACAAAGCTTACTGCCCAGTTGTGCTCTGTGGCACCACTGAGTTTCCTAGTCCAGCCATGGAAACAGCTCCCACCAAGGGACTGGGACCTGCCAGCCTCTCAGACACAGCTAGGGCCAGCTCCTGCCAACCTTCTCCCCATTGGCTCAGGCAGCAGGGTCACCTAGAGCACATTGCCCAGGACCGCGTCCAGATAGCTTTTGAATATCTCCAAGGATGGAGACTGCACTACTTCTTCTCTGGACAACCTGTGCCAGGGCACAGGTTCAGGAAAACTTCAGGAAAGAAGTTTTTCCTCATGTTCAGATGGAACTTCCTGTGTTGCAGTTTGTGCCCACTGCCTCTCGTCCTGTCGCTGGGCACCACGGAGAAGAGTCTGGCCCCATCCTCTTGACACCCTCCCTTCAGATACTTATACACATTGATGAGATCCCCCCTCACTCTTCTCTTCTCCAGACTGAACAGGCCCAGTTCCCTCAGCCTCTGCTCATAGGAGAGATGCGCCAGTCCCCTCATCATCTTTGGAGCCAGGGCTACATCATCTTTCTCACCAGGGCTGAGGAGAGGGGCAGGATCACCTCCCTCCACCTGCTGGCAACACTCTGCCTCATGCACCCCAGTTGCCTGTGAGGATGTGATGGGAGACAGTGTCGAAAGCCTTGCTGTAGTCCAGGGAGACAACACCCCCTGCTCTCCCCTCATCTCCCCAGCCAGTTGTCCCATCAGAGAAGGCTCTCAGGTTGGTTAAGCATGATTTCCTCTTGGTGAATCCATGCTGACTACCCTTGATCACCTTCTTGTCCTTCCTGTGCTTGGAAATGGTATCCAGGATGAGCAGCTCCACTGCCTTTCCAGGGATCAAGGTGAGGCTGACCGGCCTGGAGTTTCCTGGCTCCTCCTTCTTGCACTTTTGGAAGACTGGAGTGACATCTGCTTTCTTCCAGTTCTCAGGCACCTCCTCTAATCACCATGACCTCTCAAAGATGATTGAGAACGGTCTAGGAGTGATGTCTGTCAGCTCCCTCAGCACTCGTGGGTGCATCCCATCAAGGCCCATGGACTTGTGGATGTCAAGTTTGCTGAAGTAATCCTTAACCCACTCCTCCACTTTTGTCCAGGCTTTCTCCGTGGTCTTCAGGGGCTGGGATTCCTGAGGACTGGTCTTAGCAGTAAAGACTGTAGCAAAGAAGGCATTCAGTATCTGCCTTTTCTGTATCCTTCGTCACCAGGGCCCCTGCCCCATTCAGCAACCCACCCACATTTTCCCTAGTCTTGCTTTTGTTACCAATGTATGTAAAGAAGCCCTTCTTGCTGTCCTTGACATCTCTTGCCAGATTAAACTCCAAACGGGCCTTGGCCTTCCTAGTCCCATCCCTGCATCCTCGGACAACATCCCTATATTCCTCCCAAGTGGCCTATCCCTACTTCCACCTTCTGTATACTTTCTTCTTTTGTTTGAGTTTTGCCCGGAGCTCCTTGTTCCTCCATGCAGGTCTCCTGTCCCCTTTGCTCAACTTATCCAATTAGACCGTTCCCCTCTCCATGTCCCCCTCTCTACCAGCTCAGAGCCACTATTGCAGTCTGCAAGGCTCTTCTTGTGCTCTTATGTCACCTGCACCCACAGTCCCCAGGGTCACGTAGTCATTTCCCTCCTCCTTAAACAGGAATAATACTGCCTTCAGCACTGTGGAGCTCAGCTTCTTGCTAAAAGCCATTGCTCTTTCCACCGTTACGTGAAGATAGGTGTCCTGAGCGTTTAAGCAGAGTGGAGAGATATTGAAACCTAGAAGGAAGTCTCTTGGCCTGCATGTGTGTTTAGTTTTGTTCTGTCTGTACAATCTGTAATGAATCTCCAGCACCACCCTTTTTCCACAAATAACCCAGCAAAACATGAGGCATAGTTGCCCACAAGATTAAGACACGTGCCACGGTAAGGGAACAAGTGCAAGTTATTGTCTTTTGCTATAATTCTCTCACAGCTGGGAGGTCAGATTTCCTTGTATAACCAAAAGAAATGCCGGAAGCCCCGTTTTTGCTGGATATTTTTCTTGATTAGTGGGATTTTGTGTACAGCCCTCCAGGACTCTGTATCGCTTCTGGAGGTAACTGTCCCTGCACTGACTGAGGAAGTTTAGTGACAGTTTAATTTGCTTTCTAGCTCACTGGGGCTGCACAGAACTGATGGGAATCAGGCCTCTGCACAAAGCAGTACAAACTGCAAGAGAAAAGGATGTCTCTGTGGTTGCATGGGTACCTCTGTATTGCAGAGATCTGCAGCCTGAAGCTACTTCCAGAGCTTCGGCGCAAGACTTCCCCATTTGCGTGTGAGGCTGTTTGGAGATGAGCAGCAATGCAGCTTGCCACCTGGCATCAGCTCAGGGGCCACAGCACTAGCCCTGGGAATTGAGGATGCTCATTGCTCTCAGTCTCGGTTGCTGGTGGGACATGTCTGAGTCTTGTCCCTCAGGACAGCAGAGGCTCGCGACAGCATCCCCAGTACAGGGGCGCTCACCTGCCACCCCTGCCCCATGCCCCAGCTGCAATGGCCAGAGCAGAATCTCTGGTGCTTCTTTTGTCTCTTCTCTGTCTGAAGTATCTTTACAACTTCTGCTCTGGACAGCTATGTGCGAAGACAAGCAAGTAAAGGAGACAGAGCTAAGGCTGGTGCTTGTTGGTAAAACCGGAGGTGGGAAAAGCGCGACGGGAAACACCATCCTCGGGAGGAGAGCATTTGAGTCACGTCTAGGGGTGCAGGCAGTGACGCAGAGGTGCGCAAGCGCGAGTACTGTCTGGCAGGGCAGGAGGGTTTTGGTCACAGACACGCCTGCCATTTTTGACACGCCGAGGTGCAGCAAGGAATCGTACCAAGAGATTGCACGTTGCCTGCTGCTGTCTGCACCAGGTCCTCATGTGCTGGTGCTGGTGACCCAGCTGGGCCGGTACACAGAGGAGGATGAGGTCGCTACAAAGCAAGTCTGGTGCATCTTTGGGCATGAGGCCATGAAGCACACGATTGTCCTCTTCACCCGGAAGGAAGACTTGGGGGACGGCTCCCTACATGAGTACGTGACGGACACTGACAACACAGCTCTCCAGAGACTAATTCGAGACTGTGGAGACCGGTACTGTGCTTTTAACAACACGGCAACTGGAGCAGAACAGGACACCCAGGTCAGAGAACTGCTAGAGCTCACTCAGAGGGTGGTAAAGGGGAATATAAATTCTTATTACACAAACAAACTCTATTCCCAAGCCACGTTGGTCCTCAGTGGGAATGAGAGAGATTTTGAAGAAAAATGCAGAGTCTTTGGAAAGCTAGTGGAGCAACAGCTAAACACCCAGAAAGCCTCATGGGGGGCAGATTGCTGTTGCATGGTGGGTCGGGTGGCAAGAGCAGTGTACAACAGTCCATGGCTAGATTGTTATTGCACACTTAAAATGATTCTGTGGGTTGTACATTTTATATGTCGGGTGTCTTCCTGGGGATGGAGGCAGGTTGTATCACTGTATATTCGCTTCTTTGGTTAGCATTGGATGACTTTATATTGTCTTACTTTTTCCCTGGTAATTGCACCATGTTGCTTAATAACACAGTTGATTTCCATTGTAGCGCTGTTGAAGTCTTTGTTCTGTGTTATGGCCTAAGACTCTGTTAGTATAAAACAAATGCACAAAGTGAGAGGCTACTGACTCATTTATACTTGCTTTCTAGTAAAGTGACACCGTAGTGTCCGTGGAGGATTAAATGTGTGTAAAAGTTGGGAACATGCAGGACCAGTCTGACAGCAGTATGTCCTCTAAAAGTCCTTGTACTCAGACATTGGACTTTTCAGAGAAGCTCTGGTTTCTGCCAGGAGATCCAGCAGAGCCGTCTCCTGCTTTGCTTCAGCAGCTTTAGGAGCGCCTCTATGACTGATTATAGGAAAGGGAAGGGATAACCAGAACCCATAGGTGGGTGACCTAGATGTAAGCAGGCCTGTGATGTTAGGTAGCAGCCAAGAACTAAACCCATCTGGGACATGGAGATTATGGCAAGACAAGCACTGAGTGGGATTAAGGTTTGTATCACAGCAGGTGTGAAACTTAATCTCGCTGTGGCACATTTAGGGAAGATGCAAGCAAGCCATGGAGCTGCACAGCTGCTGACACTCGAGCCTAGTGGTGATAGCATTGTATCTGCCAAAGCAAACAACTCCATCCAACTTGTGGAAGCTGCTGTGCACCAACTAGCTCTGTGCTGGTAGCTGCATGGCACTGTCTGAGGAGAGAGAAGTCCTGTTCTTTTCCCCAGGGCCTGTCTCTGCCTTGTAGGGAAGAGTTTCCAGAGAGTCTTCTCCTTGTGCACACTGTGTGGTCTGTCAAATGCAGTCACTGTGTTGGAGAAAGCCCAAAGAACAGTTCCCCCTGTACCGTCTTTTGTTTTGTACTCACCCAGCAATGGGCGAGGGGCAGAAGAGACAGGGGTATGCCCAGTGTGGCAAGGCCAGGAGTCCAAGGCCTTGTTGGCGCTGCAGTGCTGGGTAGCGCTGGAGGTGCTGGAGCAGCCAAGGCTCTCCCCTGCTGGCGTGATGGTACAGCCACAGGACATGTATCAGAGCAGTGGTCCTTTCCTGGCCTCGCTTGTTTGCTTGTTCTGTGCTGATGCGTGAACTGATGTGCTCCCAGACACCCTGTCAGGATGGATGGGATTCATGGCATCTGTAAAGCCCTGGTCCCTCACACTACATTCAGTTGCCCACACAGTGGGAATGCCATTGGGGCTGTCCTGGGGTGTCTCAGACATCCCTGGGGACCTGTGGCACAGGCCCAATGGGTGCATGTTCCTTGCTGGAGTAGTGTGGCCACCAGCCAGGGAACCCCAGGGCACCTGACCCAGGACAACAGCCAAGATGAACACCAGAGCTGTGCCTCAGCCTGCAGGAAATTGAAGGGTCTGTTCCTGGCCGGAAGATGGGCAAAGGAGAAGAGGAGGATGGAAATGCAACCAGAACCTGGGAGAGCCAGAAGAGAGGCTTCTGCCTGGCATGCTCAGGGTAAGTGCTCAAGGGCTGCTCTTCCTTCCTGCCCCTCCTCATGCGATGAAGGCTGGGGGAAGGTGTCGAGGCACAGGGAAGCCTTACTCCCCACTCAGGGCACTGGCTCCAGGAAGCAGCTCGGTTGACCTTCAACACAATGTCCATGGACACCTTGCTGGCCTCAGTACCTTATGGATGTCAGACTGAGCTGCGATTCCCCCACTGCACAGCACCACTTGTCCAGGATCTACCCATCCCCAGTGCTGGGGGCAGCCCTGTCCTCCCATAGGATCAGGGGACAGAGGTGTTAATTCTGCCCCTGGAGGCTTGTCCCCTCAAGAAGGAAAGAAGTCCTGGAAATACCAGTATGGGTGGTGAGAGGACCGCTGGCTGGAGTGGCCAAGGAGCATGTGACAGCCTCTCTGGCACTGGAAAAGGGATAGGGCAAGTTGCAGGGTCCCCTTGCTGTCAGTGGGCACAGTGGGCTTCAGCCACAGCAGGCTTGATGGGATGATGTTTGAGATCTCCTGACTGCTGCAGGGCCAGACAGGCACATCTCAGGTGTGCTGGCACAGCAGCAGCCTGTTTTGGGGAGCCCTCCACAGCCTGATAAGAGAGAGGGTGAAGGATACTCCAAACACAGAGTGGTTAACCCAGGTGTCACCTGAGATAGGCACTATGAAAAGGAGAAGGGGACACTGAGAAAACCTGTGCTGGCCAGTACATACCTCCCTGGTGTCTTCCAGGTGCTTGTAAACTGATGTTTTCAGGGAATTTCAGTTAAGTTCCAGCCAAGTCCCAGGAAGGCCAGAATAAGTCCTGACACCTCACTTGTTAGCATAACACAAAGCATCTGTCCTGTTACTAGTGGTGATGCTGCATTTTCTGGGCTACAAAGTGACATGGTGCAGACAGTATCAGTCACAGAAGGACATAACACCAGTGAGTCCAAGGCTCAATGACACTGCTGTGTCCCAAGGGCACAATCGCCCCTCCTCCCCCCCTCCCCAGCCCTTCCCCTTCCCCAGCTCAGTTTGCTCATGCCTGGAGCACCAGACCCTTGCTTGACTGGTATGGTCAACAGGGACCAGCTGGCTGCATGGATGCTGGAGCACTGGGAGCCAAGCTTGGCACCGCAGGAGAGCGTTGCTTTGCCCATAGCTCCCAGAGCTATTGCCTGCATCATGACTAGTCACAACCGGAATTCCAGTCCTCTAGGACTTCAGGATAACCTGAAGTGATACCAAATAACCTCCTTTGCCTTCTTTCCTGGTGCTGTCTGCTCACACTGCTTGCTAACCCAAGGCTCTGATACATTGATGGTAAGGCTTGCTCACTTCAGATCTATCTGAGGAGGTCCTGGAGACCCAGGAGAGCAGCGGGTTAAAGCTCGGGGGTTGAGAGTGTGTGTGCAGGCACTTCAGAAATGGGAGCTGCCATAAGCAGGATATGAGTGTGCACTAGGTGCTCAAGCTGTACAGAGTGCGCGCCTTATGCCAGGGTGATGGTGTCACAGATGAGTGAGGATTGATGCACTTCACAGAATCACACGATTCTGTCACAAGTAAGGAATCTCTCAACCTCGAGGAGTAACCTTGAGAGGTGTCCCTACTCAAGAGGAGATTCTGCCGTGCAACCCACTGCCATGCAGGAGAGCTCAATGAGCTCTGGGCTGACTTCTATTTATGGGGGAAGATGATTGACTCATACTATATTTGTATACCAGCCATATTTGGGTGGGTGCATGCTTAAGTAGCCTCTGGCTATGTACTATTTATGGAGACGTCAGGTTGGGGTGGGGGCGGGGGCGAGAGAGCACATCAGGGGAGGGGAAAGAGCACACTATCACAGATGGATACCATAGACGTCTAGGGACATCTGAAAATGGTCACATCCCAGAGGCAGGTGCCCAATGGGTAGGGGAAGGAAAAGCTAAGTAATGGTAAGACAGATTGCTCACGTGGTTGGGTAGGAAGTGGGTGGAAAATATCCTCAGACCGCAGAAGTCATTAACTTTATCCTTGTTTCATAATATCTGAAACCCCAGAAAGTTTTCACAGGAAGGGTGAAACTTCTGTCCCACCAACAGTATCTGCAGGCCCCAATTTCAACTATGCAGAGAACTCTCAGGCAGCCTGAGGTCTCTTATTCTTAATCACATCTCCTTAACTTCCTGTAACACTGAAAAACAAGCCTTTTCACCATTGTTTTTGCTTACATGCTTGAGACGCCATAAGGGTAAACCACATCCTGCTGGAGAAGCTTAGAGTCTCTGTTCTCACCAGCAAAGGGGGGCTCTCCACATTGTATGCAAGTCCACAGATGGCTAAAAGTCATCCAGAGGGTGGTGGGGTCACAGGAGTGAAGATGTGAGAAAACATAGGAGACTGCAAATGGAAAGAGGGCAGAGAGCAGCCATCAAAGGAGCTGGAAAAACCCAGCAAAGTGTCCTCAGCAGCGTTCAAGGCCTCTCCCGCAAAGCACATCTCCTCCTGCCTGCAGTAAATGAGGAGAGTCACTTCAGGAAACATTGCACCGTGAGCAGGTTGTAAAGCCAAAGCTGCCTGTGACACGCCAATAGAGGGGCATCCAGGATTCTCTCAGATTCTGGGATTAGTTGCGCTGAACTCGAGAGATCATTTGTCAAGTATAAGAATTTATTAGAGTTAAGCAATTCTGCCCATATGATGGACTCTGGACAACGCTAAACAACACCAGACAATCTACAAGTATAATAAAGCTAAAAAGTATAATAAAGCCAGGGCTGAGGTCAGGATGGCTCCTTGGGGCAGTGGGAGACAAAGAATAGCCCTGGGGTGAAAGGGTGTGGGGGCCACAGTCAGCCCCATAAGATACTCCCCATCGTCCAAGAATTGACTACCTTCGGACTGGGCGTTTCCTGCATTGCAGGGTGTGGGCCTGTTCATGAGTGTGTCAGCATTAGAAGGTGTGATCTGGTAGGAGGAAATGCGGGCCCTGTCCATCTCTGCTCTGGGCACTGCATAGGGTGAGCTATGGTGGGGGAGTGGGGCTAGGCAGTTTCTAATAGAAATAGGTGCACTGCAGAAGGTGTCTTGCACAGTGGATAGCCCTTGGCCGTTCACAGGGGGTGGAAAGTGTTTCAGGGGTCGCAGGAACTCTGGGTGGTTCGAGGGGGCAATAGGTAGGTGTCAATGGGGTTGAGCTGCGCACCTGGCCTGGGGATTGCGGGTGCCTATGAGCCAGCCTGGCCTCAGAAACGTGCCCTTCCCAGGCTACAGCATGGGGATGGGGGCACTATGCTGCCACCTGTGTTGGGGAACTGGGGAGGAGACCCCAGTCCCATGGCAGCATGAGTTCTGTCTCAGGGGACACACTCTTGCCTCTACATGTAAGATTCTGTTCCCCACAGGGCACTTATGCCACAGCAGATCTTGTTGAGCAGTCCTGGCTTCATTTGGTTTTGGAAGGGCTGGGACCGTCATAGTTGGGCCAGGAACAGCTGTTGCTCTCTCTTCTGCTATATACTGACCCAGACTGCTTCCAAAGTCAATGATGGCAGATCTGCGGAGCAGCATGTCACACCATCCCTTCCCACCTTTCAGGAAGGCTGCTGCAAACCTGATGCATGATGCTGAAGCTCTCATTTGTTAAGTCCTATGGGGTAATCATCCTGCAGCAACAA